CAAGGAGCCCTAAGGCCCTGAGGCATACCTACTTGTCGGGTATCATGGGCACCTAACGGCTAACCTTTTTGGTTATATAGGGTATATGGGGGCTATACTACCCAAAAAAGGTGAAAAGGTTCCCTACTCTATTTCTAGGCATAATTACTGCTTGCGCCGGCGACCTTTTCTACTAAACCCTAGCCCTCAACGCACCAATTTCCATAACTCTGGTCTCTTGTAAGTCCCAGGCAGTCTGAGGCGTTGTACTGTGGCACCGTGTTGGCGACCTCGGAAGCGTTCGAAGCCATGTTTCGTGTGGCCCGGGTCTTCTGTCACTATAGGGGTTCTATAAGGGCTTTATAACCTTTCTAGAAGAGCTTTGGTAGGGTTCTATCAGGGTTCGAGAAGGAGTGCTTGCACAACTGTATTATTCTATAAACGCACCTTTCATGCTGATGATCTTGTATGGCCTCAAAGTACAAACAACACTGAGCCAAGCAGTTGCGTGGTTCGATTGAGAGGAAAGTCCATACCTCCACGGCTGCAGATGAGCACCGAAATGCAGTCAATAATGGTAACCTCGCAAGCACATGCAATTACAAGATGCCTAAAACACTGAAATGCTCTGCGCCGCCATCAAATGAAAGGCTAAACAGCAAATTTCATCTGGGCCACCGATTTCAAGTTGCTGCAGTCGGCAGTCGTCACCGTCGGCACCATCGATACCATGGGCTCATCCTGCTTTGTCATCTGAACCGCTCGCTGTCCATTACCACAGCAAGGCTCGGAGTGGTTCAGGGGGCTTCAGGCACGGGTTTCAGGTTCAAAGTTTCAAGGGCTTTGAGGCTTAAGAGCTTAGCTTTATGTGTTCACTGGACCACAACAGACATGGGCTCCAGCGCAAAACCTTTTCGTTAAACCTCTTTCTTCTCTTTACGTAACTTGATAGAGTGTAACATGATGTAAATTGACTGACTGCAATGCAGCCAATATCTCATATAATGCATGCACATACATACGCATGGCTGGCTTGTGTACATTCTAGGAGCAGGTTTCAAAGTCACTACCCTCGGCCCTCAAAGACCTAGGCCTTGAGGCTGCGATTGCTCCGAAGCATCAGGCCCGAGTAGGACAAGGAAAGTCCAGTCGGGTTGTAAGAACTTCGGTCTCGATCTCGTGCCGTTTTCACTTCAGCTTTGGCCAGCTGCATGCCAAAGCCGGTAGACGCGGCACGCTCGCTGCTTCTGCCTCAACCCGTGCCTGGGCTAACCTAAATCAATCCCGAAACCCGGTCTCTGCTTTGTTCGCTTTATAACCCAACGGTCACCTTTCGCTTCCGGAAGCCATCAACCACTAAACCCTTCCTAGACCGCTGAAGCCCATAAAGTCGCACAGCCCCCAGAACTCTCCTTCACCAGGAACAGGGGAGGATCGGCGTAGACCAAGTCCTGAAGAATACCCCCCAATGATGCGGAGCTTTAACCACTAACGGATTCGGAGTACATTCAAAGTTCACAGTTTGGTGCTGGTACGAAAAAGTATACTAAGTATATTAAGAAAGCCTATGTGCCCCAAACCATGTACTTGGAAACACAGATCGAGAGGCCTGCACCTATTAAGGAACCGCCACATGCGCCAAAGCCCATGCCAAGCTATGAATCACCCGGTTGCGAGGAGGCTCCTAATTTAACGCAACTTTACAGCACCAAACACCGCGGGTGCCTTCGGCGGGTAGACATCGGTGACCCAAACAAACCTGCGGCTCGGCAAGGATACAACTGATTTTGCTTCGTGGACGATTTGAGGAGACCTACCGGTGGATCTAAGCATGTCCCCTCCGAGCTCCCAACACACCGTCAGTTTGGGGCCCACTATACTTTAGTTATAACCAGGAACCCTCAAAAAATAGTAAGCATTTAGGCCCCTATAGCATAGAACCCTACTAGAGATCCACTATCGACCCCTTTTAAGGAACCCTAGAGAAATAGTATTAGTAATTCTTTAGGCCCCCAAATTACTCCGAGCAGCACTATAGGGGCCTAAATAATTACCTATACTATTTTTGGGCGGGGTTTTTCAATTATAAGTATAGTATCATGGGCCCCACAACCCTATTCTATAGCGGCCTCAATAATTAGGATAGGGTTTTGGGGCCCATTGTACAAAACCTCACCAGGGAACCGCACGATAGTATGGGCAATTATTTAGGCCCCTACAGTAGAAGCCAGAAAGTTGGAATATCATTATCGTAACCTCTTTAAGGTAAATTATGGGGGATCCTACCATTATTCCATATTCCAACTTTCTGGAGTTCCCTTTATATTATTCAAAAAGCTCTCCAACGCCCAGCTCCAAGGGCTTAATCCGGCATCCACCCTCACTTGGAGGTTCATGGGTAATTATAAGGTAAAGTTATATGGGGTTTAGGGCTCCTTTAAGGATTCTATAGGGTTTAGGGTTCATGGGTAATTATGAGTAGGGGCTTGAGAAGGGGACCTATACATATAACCCTTATCAGAGGACTTATAGCCCCATTAATAACTACCCCCCCTGAACCTCCAAGTAAGCCTTCAACCCCCCAAGCTCCATAAGTCTGGTCCCCTCTAAGTCCCAGGCAGTCTGAGGCGTTGCACTTTTCTATACCCCTGAACCTCCAAGAAAGCCACCCACCCTAAGCCCTAAACCCAAAACAGAGCCGACCGAGCCCCCGTTCCTGGGCTCCCGGGCTCTGTGGCGATGTCTCGACGCCCCGTGGCAGCCGCATTCGTCCCTAGGACCACGATGCAGTATCGAGTTGCCTCGGATCGGTTTTCTTGGAGCTTCATGGGTAGCTGTAAGTAGGGCTATAGGGGATTTGGGGTTCCTTTAGGGGTTCTATAGGGTTTAGGGTCTAGGGTAGTTGTAAGTAGGGTAACTGTACGTATAACCCTGATTAGGGGACTTCTAACCCTACTTCTAACTAACTACCCCTGAACCTCCAAGTAAGGGGGTCTGGGGCGTTGCTTGGGGCATAGGGTCCTGGGGCTTTCGGCGGCACAGCGTTTCGGGAAAAGGGAGAGGCTCAAGCCGCGTTGCAGAAGACCCGGAAGCCTAGCAAACCATACAGGCCCGCTGTGGGGGCCTCAAGGGGCATATCTTAGAAGCTGCCCCCACCCTGTAATAGTGACTTTAAGGATTATATTAGGGCCCTATTGTATTCCTATTATACCACAATTACAGGGTGGGGGGCCCCTTCTAAGGCATATCAGGCTTGCCAACCTGTTTCAAGTTCAGGCAGGATGTGAGCTTGCAACTTGGGCCCCCAAGACAGGGAGGAAACTGTGATTCTCAGCGGGCTTTCAATAACCAGGGCGAAATAAGGACACTATGACAATAAATGGCTAGAATCCCGAATACCAATACTACATCTCATTGGGCTCAAGTTTGGCATTCGCCCTGCCAGTGTGGCCTGATCCAAGAGTTTTATATCAGGGCTTGATATGCAGGGTCCGAAGTTCTAGCAATACAAAGCAAGCACGCGACACAAGAGGGCTAGTCTATCTTATCTGACATAAACGTCTGCACCTTTTGACTGTTCCTCCGGGCTGTGCGGGTAGTGGCCACTTTGGGCCGGGAAACCCGCCTCGGCTGCAAGCAGCGACTTCGCAGCCGCGAGGGCCCAAGAAGTTTACAAGTTCAGGCTGCCAGGCGAGGTGGAGGCCTCGCCGGGCTTCTACAACTCTGCAAGAATAGTAACAATAACAACCACAACAATCGCAAGATCATAATGGCAAACTCTACAAGAATAGCTAGAATACAAAACAAAAAACATAACAACAGCAATATCATAATAGCAAAAGCAACGGTCATCATAGTGACAGCAATAACGACAATTTCTTCGGAGTTTGGACGAACGACTCCAGAAGCAACCGCGGAAGCTCAAATCGCTTCAAGGATCATGGCTCCCATTTGGGAGTTTCCGAAAATTAGGGGTACCTTATTTTGGGTTCTTATAATGAGGATCCTACTATTTAGGGTACTATATTAGGGTCCCCTATTTTCGGAAACTCCCATTTCAGCTTGCCTTGATGTCGCCAGAGTGCAGGCATAGGCTCAGTGTATGCAGGTTGCAACTTAACTTGTAATGTGCTTGTTTGACCTAAGTCTACTACCTATGAGCCTTCAAGCAGTGCCTTTGGAATCCATGCGGCTCCATCCATTCAGGGCGTTTAGGGTTCAGGGTTCTAGGGTTTAGGGTTCAAGTTTGGGTTTAAGGTTCAGGGTTCTTCGTAGCAGTTAACAGGTGCTCATGAGAGCTGCACGGCCGTCTTTGGGCCGCAAGTCCTCGGGTGTGCAAATGCAGCATCGTAGGGCCGTAGGGACTTGATCTCGCACATGTCTGAAACTGGGCTACTGGTCCGTAGCGTTGGCAGTATATGCGGATAGTTGTCCGCGTCCGCGATCTTCACGCAAGCCAAGTGCCGGTGCCCACGACTCGCTCGGAGTCATTGAAACCCTTACGCCCTAAACCCTCAATCTTTGGGGCTTGGCTTGCAAAGTTGCTTTGAAACCTATACGGGTGTTCTTTAGGGGGGTGGGGGCTTTGTGGCTTGAGGCTCTGGGAGGGCTTAAGGCTTGGGCTGCGTTGGGATTCGAACTCTGCCTTAAGGTCAAGGCTTCGGGCTTGGGACTGAAAGTCATGATGTTATAGGGCCTTTATCAGGGTTCCTTTAAAGGGGTCTATAAGGGTTACTATAAGGGTACTATAATAATGTAGGAGCCTGATTAAGAAACCTTGGGCCTTTATTACGGTACCTATATGAATCCTACTATTTTGGGGTTCTAGGCCCAGGGTTTCTTAATCAGGTTCCTACATTACCAGGGTCGGGGTTGGTAGGGAAGTAAGTGCAAATCTGCACTACTACCCTGATGGCTTACACCCCCGAGCTGTCGTGGCACCAGCCACTATTTGCGCACATAATTGGAAGAGGGTAATATGCTCATGCTGCTTGCATTAGAGACGATAAGGTGATACGATACTATCTAGTAAGCCCCTGATTCTCCTGCAGGTCCACGCCAGCACCACTGCTCAAAGCACGGACGATTTGCATGTGGCCTTTGGAAGATGCGTGGCTCAGAGCCGTCATACCATCGAGGCAGTCCCGCGCATTCTCGTCCACACCAGCCTCCAGCAAGAGATGCACGATCTCCAGGTGGCCTGACAAACAGGATGGCCGGAGAGAAGCCATGATGAAGAAGATGAAGACGAAGATGAAGAAGATGACGATGACGATGACGATGACGATGACGATGACGATGACGATGACGATGACGATGACGATGACGACGACGATGACGACGACGTTGATGACGACGACGATGATGATGTTGATGATGTTGATGATGTTGATGATGTTGATGATGATGATGATGATGATGATGATGATGATGATGATGATGGTGACGGTGTTGAGGGCGTTGACGATGATGATGAGAAGGGGGATGAGGCGGACTACGAGGAGATGCGGAACAATTGGAATGAGGACGAGCAGAGAATGCAGGATGCCGGCGATGATGACGATGGAATGCCGATGACGATGACGATGCAAACTGGGCTGCTGGTGAACGGCGAGGGGGCAAAACGAACGTTTTGGTGCTGCAGCCCTTGTGCGAGATTGACACTAGTTCAGAGTCTCATCAGAATGCTGGCCTCCGGAAGCTGCATATCCGAAAAGCGTTCTCCCGCAGAAGTCTCGCAAGTCCACGCTGGCGCCGGCTTGCAACAGCAAGCACACGACCGCAGAGTGGCCTTCGGAAGATGCATAGCCCAAAGCAGTCATGCCAGAATTGCTCCTCAAGTCCTGGTCCGACAGGGTCTGATTTCGGGCTTCTCAGCAAGACATGCAGCGCAGGACGCTGTAGGCAACTCACCGGCATCGGAACTAGGGTTTAGGGCTTATAGGGTTTAGGGAAGTCAACAAGACAACATCAGTATATTGCATCAAACTCAATGTCCGCAACGCCAGAAACCTTGTGCCCTGTGCACCCTCGACCTAAAGGCTTTAGGGTAAAGCCATGCTGTGCAGCCTCCTGTTTACACACACACACACACACAAAAAATAAAAAGCCATGAACCCCTGAACTGGTACGGGAGAATGAGATACCAACCCTTGGACAACTAACCCTAGACTAGCCCGAAGTCCAGCTTGGCACCAGATTCCACGAGCAAGCCAGCGATCTCGACATGTCCTTAGGCATTACTCTTCAAGGCTTCACCTCAAAGCCAGGCCATAGATGCGAACAGGGACTTTCAACTATAGGGGCCCCAGCTTCACATGTTGGCAGAAATGAAGGATGTGAAGTGGAATACGACCACATCCATGTTCATGTCTATGGGGTTCGATGCTGTCTTGGCAGGTACTTCCTGTGTGCGTGTCTCGGAATGGCTGCTGTGATGTCGCGATGTGCTCTCTGGGCCAGAGATCACCACTTCGTAATCTGGTCAGAAGCGACTTCAGCTCAGTCAGTTGTCTCATTACGTGCCTTTGGTTAGTAAGGAATGGAAGAATGGTAGTGATAGTAGTTATAATTGTCCCCCATTCTTCCATTCCCTACCAATCAAAGGTAAGATTAACCTTGAGCTGCCCTTCAAACATTGAAACCCGCAACCCGTGGAAACCCTGCTCCCTCAACCCTCCCAGCCTTCTCCGAAGCCCATGAAGACTTGACACCAAATGCCCTAGCCCCTAAACCCTAAACCCCAAACCCTAGACCCTAAACACTAAACCCTACGAAACCTCGGAGGCCTAGGCGAATTCACGAATCATGGTAAGCAACTACTGCCTTGCAGAGTCACACAAAAGCCCCAACCCTCGCCATAATCCAAACCCCCTAGAGGAACGCTTCAAGACCCTGTGCCATGTCAACCCTTACGAAAAAAGACACCTCATGTCAACCCTTTCTTACTTGCCGAGTATCATTGGAAACTGAAGTTATCTAGGGACTATCGTGTCCAGAGACGTTAAACCTTACCTACTCTACTACTAAACACTGTAAATTACAGATGGGCAAGCGTCCCTTGGAAGCTGCGCGGATGAGGGCGGTCAGGCCGAAGCGGCGGTCGGAACAGTCCTTCAGGGCAAAGGCTTTTCGGATCTAGGATTCAATGGTTTCGGGTATAAGGGCTGCTAGAAGTGCTACTACAAGGGGCTTGCTAGGGTGTAGGGCTCTAGAATCTTTTCGCGTGTGAGGGCTAAGGGCTTTGGAGTTTTGGGGCCGTGTTTGGCCTTTTTTGGCTTTGGGGGTGGGCTTTAAGCCCTAAACACCTTAAACCCCCCAAAACCCCTAAACCCCCTAAACCCCCTAAACCCTAATTGACTCTAATTGAAGACCTTGGGTTCAGGGTTATATGTATCATGGCTTGGGCCTGTAAGGCTGCAAGTGTAGGTGCCCAGACCCCCGGGAGGATCTAGAAAGTAGATCCCCCTAATTTTGGGGCCCTATACTACTAAGGGTACTTTAGAGGAACCCCCATTAAGGGATCTACTTATTGGATCCTCCCGGGGGGTCTGGGTGATCATTGAGAAGGGCGGCGCTATGGCTTGGGGACTGTCGCTGCTGTTCGTACTGCTGGCATCCCGCCACCAGATGTTTCTTGCACAGTACATATATGCACACACACACACACATGAACATGTGTATACATATGTATGTATGTATATATACATATATGTATATAGATAGACAGAGTTGTTGGTCTACGGCTTGGATGTAGATGTGTGTAGCCATCAGAATCCAGTGTTAAACCTAATGTGAGGGATTCGTACTACCTACATGGGAGTTTCCGAAACTTAGGGGTACCTTAATTCGGGGTCCTCATAATAAGGATCCTACTACTTAGGATACTAAATCAGGGTCCCCTATTTTCGGAAACTCCCAAATGCTTCAGCCTGCAAACCGACAGCCTCGAAGCCTAAACCCCGAAGCTTGACACTCTAAAGCCAGAACGCCAAAGCCCTCCCCCCAATCCCAAAAACCCCGAAGCCCTCCAGCCAATCCCCGCGATTCGTACTACCTACATGTTTCCTGTTTGCAGTCAGGTGGATCGCCTCCGGGCTCTGAGTTTTGCTGAAGCAATGAAAGTTACCTAATTGTTTTCTCTGATGTATCCCTGATGTGGGGGCCTGAATAAGTACCTACACCATTTTTTTTTGGGGGGGGGTCCGTCTTATAGGTTTTTGTATAATCTACCCCAGAACCCTATTCTAATTATTAAGGCCCCTATCTCACAGAACTCTATTTTGAATCCCTGAAAGTAACCCTTATAGACCCCTTTGAAGGAACCCTGTTCTAACCATTAAGGCTCCTTTTTTTACAGAGGGTGCTTCCCGTGTCGGTCCTTGTGAGCCCGTGCTGCCAGTAGGACCTTTGCTGCCTCCACCTGGTGGTTTCCAAAAATTAGGGAGTACCCTATTTTGGGGTCCTTTGAAGGGATCTAGAAGGGTTCTATAAGGGGATCTATAAAGGTTCTATCAAGGGTTTAGGGTTTGGAGTTTACGAATTCTTTTGGGGTCCTTATAATAAGGATCCTACTATTTAGGGTACCACATTAAGGTCCCCTATTTTCGGAAACTCCCACCTGGCCGGACTCGCACGCGTGGCTCAGCGCCGTCATGCTGTCGGTGGCATCGGGCAGGTTCGGGTCCTGAGACTGAAGCTGCGGGCTTTGGGGATTGGGGGGAGGGCTTCGTGGTTTTTGGGGAATAGGGGGAGGGCTTCGGGGTTCTGACTTCAGAGTGTCACGCTTCGGGGTTTAGGCTTCGAGGCTGTCAGTCGCGCAGGATGAAGCACTTAGGATTTGGGACCGCTTAAGAGCTTAGGTCAAAGTCTGAACCCGAGACCCCCAACGCGACTCTCGCCTGGAAGGAACCTTCCAAACAGGAAGGCTCCAGAAAAGCACACTAGCTGCCAGGCGAGCTTTCGAGTTGCAACCGAGCTTCAGCTTGCGCCTGCACCAGAAGCCTGGCTACTTCTGCATGGCCTCGTGAACATGCTCGGCTGAGGGCTGTCATACCAGAGCCGTCTCGTAGATCCTTGTTGCAACCGGCTGCTAGCAGGAAACGGACCATGTCGACGTCACCTCAGGGGCTGCTCCGAGCGGCGGATGCATCATGAAACGGCTATCCAGTTAAACAAACAATCTGGAATGTTCTCACGTCAACCTGCACAAGCGTGTCTGCATAAGAAGGATCGATGGCTAGCTAGCTACATAGATAGACAGCTATAGATACATGGGCACGTAGAAAGACAGGCCGACAGCAAAGGCAGCCAGCCGACCGACCAGACGGGCAGACAGACAGACAGACAGACGCAGACAGACAGACAGATGCAGACAGAGACAGAGACACAGACAGAGACACAGACAGACAGACAGACAGACAGACAGACAGACAGACAGGCAGACAGACAGGCAGACAGGTAGGCAGACAGGTAGGCAATCGAGGAGCTAGTTGAGTCTACATAGATTGCAGCATAGGGTGACGCAGGCGCAGCTGGAACTTAACGTGCTCTAAGGATCCCAGACCTCGAAACCCCGATCTCTAAACCCACCCAAAAAACCGAAAAGATGCACCAGCCTGCCAAAGATGCAGAGTTGAGAGCAGTCATGCCTTCTCGATCCATGGAGTCCTCCCAGGGTTCTGGGATTTTCTTTAAGCCGCGTTTTCCACTCGCTTCTACTGTCCGAAGCGAGCAGAAGTCGATTTTTGGCCAGGCGACGGAAGCCAACCCCGTGCTATATGCCCCTGAAGGGCTCAGGGGTTGAAAGGCTTGGGCTTTTTTCGAGCTTGAGGTCTGTAGAGTTACAGGGTTCAAGTCTTTTCGGGAAAAACGTTTCGGGGTGTGTATATATATATGTATATATATATATATATATATGTATATGTATATATATATATATATAAGATCCCTAAATCCTGAACCCGACGCCACGGCCGCACAGAGTCCTTGTCTGCTCCCGCTTCCAACAGAAGGCGGGCAACTCTCACATTGCCCTTCATGGGAGCTTCGGCAAGGCAGGCGGCAGGTTTACGGTTGGGGGGGGCTTAGGCTTTGGAGCTGTGTCCGTGGGTTCAGCATTCAGGGCTGGGCTTTACGGTTCCTGTAGGTTTTGGAACCGGGCTTGGAGCTTACAAACTCTTCGACGGGGCTTTTTTCGATTTGAGATGCAACCCTAAACCCAAAATACTCCCAAATCCTACACCCCCAAACCCTAAGCCCTAAACCCCCAAACCCTAAACCCTAAACCGTTCCTTCATGGCCGCATAGGCCACGAGCTCCTGCACCGCCTCGCAGCTGCCGGCTGCGGAGATCGCCAACAACACCAGCTGAAGCTCCGCGAACGCATGGAGCTCGGAGGTATTCTCCAAGCAGAGGGTCCCGTGAAGCAGCTGTTGGAGGCAAAGGGGGAACCTTTGCTCCGAATTATGAGGGACATGCAACCAATCTGAGCGACGGAGCGGTTCTCAATGACAATAGAAATAACAAGTAACAAGAATGATAACGAAAAGAAGAACAAAGACAATGAAAAACCATCACAAATAATCACAAAAATAATGCTACTAACAATAATGATAGTAGTCAGCATAACAACAGTGATATTGGTAATAATATCACAGAGAAGCCTCCTAAGCACATCCAAAGGAACCCATACTGCGCACGCAGACGGAGCTTCAGGCCAGCCACATCCTGCAACTTCTCTGTCTGCACCGGAAACTCTTGTCCTGACGTGCTCCAAACACGCAGCATGGGGAACTGGCCGGAAAGCAAAGCTTGGGCCGTAGCTGCTGCAGGTGCGGCTTGGGTGTCGTGGGCCTCACATATTTGCGTGGTGTGTCTACCTCTGCATCCGAACAGGCTGTTTAATCCGTTGACAGAATCCACGCTGGTACTGTTGAACCCCAACCGCTAAGCCCTTCAACTCAAACGCCCCTGCATGCTGATGCATCTGCAGACTTGAAGGCTTTAGTGGCTCCTGCTTTGCAGTCTGTCGAAATGCAGACCCACCGAAAAGCTCATAGCCCTGCGCCCTTCGCCGCGATGGCCCGTGCAACAGGCACAGCTGCCGCACGACCATCAGAGTTGAACACCCACGACTGAAATGCTCCGCTTTTTAGGGTTTAGGGCTTAGGGGCTTAGGGCTTTGGGGGTTTAGGGGTTTTGGGGGATTTAGGGTATGGTTGAGCAACTTGACACGCTAGAGTCAAGGTTCGGGTCCGGGGTTCAGGGCGCCTCCGAACTGTCTAGGAGGCTTTCTTTGTTCCATTCGGAGGGAGCAGGATTTCCTGAGTATCGGGTTCAGGCGAAGATTGAGGGGTGTACCGTCGGGGCCCCTGTCCCGAAAGCCTAAATCCTTCATGCCACCGACAAGTGCGACTGAAAGTCTTGCAGCATGTAGGCTTTAGCCTAGCCTGGTTCTTATGCCTTTGAACAGAACAAGTCGTGATGGGCGACACTGGCTGACGATCATCCGACTGAACCCTAAAACCCAAACAAAAAAAAACAAAACTCCACACATCTAAAACCCAACAACCCCAATACCTCCCAGTTCCCCCCAACCCCTCCCGCTTGAATCCCAACACCCAACACCCTTAATTCCGAACCCCTCCCCCCAACCCTAAACCCTAAACCTTAAACTTATAAACCCTAAACCCCTAAACCCCTAAACCCTAAACCCTTAAACCCTTAAACCCTAAACCCCTAAACCCTAAACCCTTAAACCCTAAACCCCTAAACCCCTAAACCCTAAACCCTTAAACCCTAAACCCCTAAACCCCTAAACCCCTTAAACCCTAAACCCACCCGGCTTGAAGGCCCGGGTGCCGCAACGATGGGCTGGGGAACGGCGCCGACCACGGGCTGCCGGAAGTGGAGCCTCGGCTGTAAAGAGGCCCACGGGATTCTCAAAGGGGTGTAATGGGTTTAGGGTTTAGGGCCTAAGGGGTTTAGGGTTTTTATGGTTTTTTGAGGGATTTTAGGATTTCCAGTTTAAGTTTTTTTTTAAAAAAAGTGCACTGACCTTTCTAAGTTTTAGGCTTCGGGGGGCTCAGGGCTCCCACGAGGGTTCCTCTACGGGTTCTCTTTCAATGTCACATTGAGGGCTCTTAGGAGTGTTCTTAAGGGTGCTGTGAGGGTTCTACAGGGGTTCCTGGAGGTTCCCTTGGGAGTTCTATAAGGGTTCTGCGGATTCTTGTGTAGCATTCTTTTCAGCCCTTTTGTACCTGTAACGCTGGGCTTAGGTTTATAGGGATTTATAGGATTTACGGGTTTATTGGCTGGACTCCTCCACCCGAAAGCCGAAGAGTTCAAGCGCCGGACTGCGCTGAGCCGAAAGCCCCAGGTTAATGACCACAGCAACCACGAGGAACCACTCTCCTAAACCCTAAACCGTGAATTCTGAGCCCTCCCCGACCCTAAGCGCTTTCTGACGCATTGAACCTTTGCTTGCATTTGGATGTCAGCAGACTAGACCGGGCTGCGGAGATCGGCTCCTCGAAACCGCATCGTAGCTTTCGAAGCCCCAAACCCCCCTACTCGGCAGTGAGCATTCCGAGTACGAGTAGCGTTGCGTTCAATGCCAGGCCGTGCTGGTTCTCACCTCCAGAGGGGCAGAAAAAGTCTCTCCGGTTCAGGCAGGCTTATGAGGTCGGGTTTAGGCTTATGTGCGAGGATTGGGGATGGGGTCAAGCATTATATTAGATTGTAAACCGTCGTATCACATGATACTGTATTCAATAATTGTATATATACATATGTATACAAATATGTGTGTATATATATATATGTATACTGTAGTATACTATGCTATGAGAGCTTCAGGCCCACAGTGAGCCGGCTCCGGGTTGAGGGCCCACAAGGTTCGGGCGGCTTCGGCTGAGGCAGTGGAATGATCATGAATCATGACCCATCCCTTCACGAAAAGAGCCGTTTTGAATTTCAAGCACATGGAAGGGCCCTTAAGCAAACCCTGCACAAACCCTACGACGGGTTGTTTAAGGATCCTTACTACGAGACACTTAACTAAACGAAACGAAACAGGAATCTCCACATCCATCAACTGCAAAACCTTCAGCCCTTGCTGGACCCTGCAGGGAATGCTTCTGTAAGGTCGGAGCGTTTCGGAAAGGTGGCTCATTTAAAGTCTAGGCGGCGAACAATGAGATCTACCCGTCAATCCCCTGACAGCGGAAAATCGCAACCTGAAAGCCTCCAGGCCCTGCTCCATGGGTCTCAAGCAAGCCCTGATCCTCTGAGCCAGCCCTGCTTGAAGAACCATCGGCGCCAACTAGACATGGATCCCAGAACGCACATAGAGGCGACAGAGGGTCGCACAAAGTTCTCGGGTGCACATGGCGACTTAATTCACGCTAGCTATAACCTGTCAGACCATGCAAAAGCCACAGGACCCTGCTTCCAGCTAGCTGTGATCCTTCAAGAGCACAAGGACGGGTCAAGGAGGTTTAGGGCTCAGGGATCACCTGATTCAACTAGATTCCCGAAAACCCGTCAGCCCAAAACCCAGGTGAATAAGTTGGGCGGCAAGCTGGCAGGGAGGTTCCACCTGCAAACCTCGCCAAGTGAGACCTAAATGAAAAAATCGGTATCAGAGACCCTAAGTAGTAGAGCACTACAAAGTTGAGGACTTAAAACTTATTAGGTGTTGGCGAGACTTCCTGAACATCGGGTGCCTGGAGACACGGGCACGATGTACTCGCTTTCCACCTCAGCACGCCGTCGCTATGGTTCCGAGACCGTCGGCGCTTTAATCAGTCTTTCGGACTTCGGTTGCGATGTTAGTAAACCGGCTTGTCACCTAATATAGGGGCCTTAATAATTAGAATAGGGTTTTGGGGCCCATTATACTACAATTATAATAAGGAACCCCCACAACAGTATAGGTAATTATTGAGGCCCCTACAGTATGGAATATTCTTGTTGCAATCATGTGCAATGCTGGGCTGCTCTGCAACCGGAGGGCCCCTGGTCAGCTGGACCCTAGACCCCACAGAACCGAAGGAAGGCTCCGGGTCGCTGTGTGAATCTTCATTTGGGGATCGAAGCTTTTCAGCTTTAGGGGCTAAGACTGTTAAGAGTCCTTGTGCTTCTAGTTTTGTTGGAGTTGGTTTTGTATAGACCTGCGGGGTCCAGACTCGAGTTTCTAGCCTCAGGGCCCTATGCACTGATCGATACAAACGAAAGCTTCCACGCGCACATCAACACGAGGAAGCCTTCAGACACTCGGTGAGGATTTGCTATCCATGGTGGTCCTGCGCACTCGACGTAGGCCGCAACCCTCAAGGGATCGATACGAAGCAGACCAATAAGATAGGGTTACCTCCCAACTCCATGGTAGTGCATGCTACTCCTCCCCAGAAAACTCGATCAATGCTACACCAAGCCCTACACCACCTAAACCCGAAACCATAAAAAACCCTAAGCCCACTTCCTCACCAGGTTGCTCCGTCGCTGTAGTTCCCGCCCGGACAGAGCCGGAAGAAGACGTTGTAGTGGGTGACCTCGGAAAACTCCGCAGGGTGTTCTACACCCCCTTTAGAACCATAATAAGAATAGTATGTTTCATATTGTTTTGGGCTGTATATGTACTGAAAATGACATTGCTAATATGCTCTCAGGTTATATATGAACAAAAAAATGTTGGGCCTTTGGGCCTTTGGGAGGCCTTGTCCTAGTCTCACCGTGAGGTTTACCTTTCGGGACCAGGGAGGGGCTTGTGGGAGTTTTGCCTTGGGGCTTCGAGTCTCAGATGCTTACCCTTTCCTAAAACAGGGGCACCTTAGGGTTCCTTTAAGGGTTACTATAAGGGTTACTATAAGGGTTCCTTTAAAGGGCTCTTTAAGGGTTCAGAGTTTCCAAAAATTAGGGGTACCTTATTTTGGGGCCCTTATAACAAGGATCCTACTATTTAGGGTACTATACTAGGGTCCCCTATTTGGCCAGAGGGCCCTTGCCAAACAGGGATGTGTCAGACCTTGTTGGGTCCAGACAAGAGGAAGGCTTCTGGGAAATCTGCAAATTGCAAACCCTCAGAGAAGGACCCTGATTTCTCGACATTTGCCCAGCTTGCTGTCGTGAGTAGCCGCCCACCGCTTGGCGGTGAGCGGGCCAATAGCTGGCAGGTCACTCCTGCGCAGGCGCAGTACGACTACATAATGATACTTTGATGAATACATGTGGTCACCACAAGAAGGAGACGAGTGAAATCTGCAATACAGTTGGGAGGTACTTCCTAAACCTGAAACCAGACCCTGTTTAACCCATTTAGACTTCGTGGAGTTCGATCTCCACTGCCTGGCATTCGCAAGAAGCAGAAAAGTGGGAGAACCACTTTGGGTGTCGCCCGAAACCAAGCAAGCATATTATGCTTGCAGGTTCAACTCGCGATGCTTCTGCGCTTTGGGCCTTGGTGCCTCAAGGGTCTACCCATAGGCTCCATAGTAGTTCCCTTTTGGGGTTACCTTATAGGATTCTAAATATGAACCGCCTACAGGAACTACTATGGAGCCTGTAGGTAGAGTCTAGAGTATGCAGATTCCGAGAACTTTGGCTTGGAGTTTGCGCCTTTGATGGGTGGGTTTAGGTTGTGGGGTTCTCAAGGGTTGCAGAGTTCCTGCGGTCAGACTTCACCCCCCTTGCACTCGCTCTGCAAGGCTTGGCCTTGCGGCGCGGCCGTCGCCGTGCCCCTTCCACATTGCTTCGGTATTACGGTTGCCCTTACGTCGCTTCTGTTG